CGTGCGAAGGAGCCGGCTCAGCTTATCCTTGCAGTTTGAGCAATGATTTCGCCCCCGTGAACCCACCCGGCTGTAAATCCTGGCACAGACAAGCCCCAAACATTCATTTCAGGCAACGCAGTTTGTGTCATCTCGGCATTAGCATTTGCACTCTTATTAATTAATACTTGTTAAACCAGGACTAAAAATAAAGCTCTCGGCTCCCCGTCTCAGCTCACGCCTGCTTGCCCTCGCCCGCCTGGGCTGCGGCGGGCTCAGCACCCAGCTGCTCCCTGCTCCAGAGCCAGGGCTGGAGGAAAAGGACTGTGGTGAAGCAGGAATCCTGCTAAAGGAAAAATCACCCTTTCTGCACCACCCTGGTGGAACAAGCCAGCCTTCCCGACCGTGGCTGTGGGATTGGGGGAGTGACAGGGACAGCAGCACGCACAGCATTTAACTTTTTTGTTTTTTCCATTCCAGCTTCTGAATTTGTTTTTCTTTTGCTGCCCTTTTTCTTCCTGGGCTGGGCCAGCCTTGGTTGCACTTCCCATTCAGAGCTGATTTCATTTCCCAGGCAGGACATCCCGGAGGGCTCGTGTTCAGGAAGGAAATGGTTCATCGTGGTGGGCCAGGTGAGCTCAATGCCTGCACACAGGCAGGTGCTGCCACCGCTGCCTTCACAGCATCCAAAAGTTTCTTTTTCCTGCCTGGGAATGGTACTGCCCATCAGCATCCCTTTGGATGCAAAGCAAGTGGCTGCACCTGTGGGTTAGTGCTGCTGCTGGGGCACCTGTGTAGGAAAAAAGGGCCTGAAATGGGGGCTGGAAAAGCTTTTGGGGAACCCCAGGGGTGAAACCCAGCTGGGTTTGGGCACAGGTCATGGTGCTCCCCACCACAATCCAGCCAACCATTAAACCCACCAGGCTCCAGTTTCCTCTGTTCCCAATTTCCCAAGCTCTTGGGCCCCTTCAGAGCTCATCTAAGCAAAGAAAGCAAACTCAGATCAAACACCTTCCTGTATAGATTCTATAGATTGCACATGAATCTACACAGACCTATGGAGCACTCAGAGCCAAGGCTGGATGGATGAGGCTGTGCCAAGCACAGGGAAGGCAGCCTGGCCTGCAATATTTAATAACATTAATGATAATAACAGTAATAATAGTAATAATAACAACAGTAATTTGTTAGTTAACCATTATTAATGAAAAGCAAGCCTGCAAATTGTCACTCCAGGAAAGCCCCAGGTCACCAATCTGCTTGACTTAAATCACCAAACCCGGTAACTCTTGGCAATTCCTCTGCCTTGGGTGTTCTTCCCAGAGCCCCTTGGCTTTAATCTGCAGAGCAGAGCTGGAGCTCAGGATGCCATCCTCCTTTGCTGTGCTGTGACAGCAGCCAGGTGTGGATGTGGGGGATTCCAGCTGTGGGATTCCAGGTGTGGGTGTGGGGGATTCCAGGTGTGGATTTAGGGGACTCCAGGAGTGGATTTAGGGGGTGGAGGGGTTCTCCCAGCCCAGGCTGTTGGAAGGAGAAGCTGATGGCCAGGCTGGGTACCAGGGCTGGCAGCAGGAGCAGCACTTGGGGATGCAGCACAGCTCACACGCGTTGGGAGTGAATGTTAATGGTGCCGAGCTCCTGGGAGAAATGATCAAATTCTTTGAATAAAGCGGGTAGGAGAGGAAGGGGAGGGGGAGGAAGGGAAAATAACTCCACAGATTAATCCTGCTGATGAAAATTAAAAGTGGGCATTGCTGAGCCAACCCCAAAATGAGCAGCTTTGGAGCCACAGCTCAAGCTCAGCCTGGGCTGGGTCTGCCTGAGCCCCCAGACCCCCAGTGGGTTCAGCCAGGGGCTCCCTGCGTGGCCTTGGGACAGGATCAGGTCCCAGGGCTGTGAAGGGATGTGCTAATCCTGCTGTGAGCATCCCCCCTCCAACAGCGTTCATCTTCATCCCTGGTGCCTTCACCCAGAGGGCAAGTGAGCACCCAGAATTGTGAGGTTCATTTCAATAGCAACTTTTTAAAAAAATAAAATGTTGTGAGCTTTTAATTAATTTGTATTAACTACCTTGAGCCTTTAAAGATTTGATTTTGTCCACTGTGGTCTCTGGTGAGGGTGGTTCCAAAGGTTCTCCTGCACAAAAAGAAGGCAGAGACTCAGCAGTGATCACAGGACTCGGGGAGCTGCTGCTTTAAAAGAAAATAAGGTAAAAGTTTGGGAGTGGACCATGGCATGAGCTGCAGGATACAACCCGGCCAGGAGCAGCTTCCTCCTGCCCTGCCCCTCCTGGAGCTGGAAAACCTCCTGTGGAGCCCAGGAAGTCCCGCGGGAGGGAAGTGACTCCAGCACTCCCAGGGTGGCTCCGGGGGCACAAAGGGACTTTCCTTGGCTTGAATCACCATGGGCACATTGGCTGGAGCTGCAGAGGGCCCAGGGCTCTGAGCTGGGGGCACAGAGAAGCTTCAGAGCTCTGTGCTGGGGTTGGGGCGGCAGCAATCCCAGGGGGACACCCATGGGTGGGACTCCCCTCATGTCCTGCTCAGCTGCTCCCCCTTTCCCTGCTGCCTGCTCCGTGCTGCCAGCCAGCCCCTCTCCCTGGCTGTGATTTCATTTTGATCTCGGGCTGCCTCCTTCTCTCCCTCCCTCCCTCCATCCCTCCTCCCTCGCTGGCTGCTGCCAAGTCCGCAGGTTCCCGCTGTGACCTTGAGCCGCTTTCTGGAGCCGCTCGTGGGTTCTTAAAGGAGCCAGGGGGGTCTCCCACCACCTCCCTCCTGCTGCCCCAGACTCCAGCCCAGCCATGCACTGCCCACCCTGGGCTTGGGGGGAACAGGGAGTGAGAGCAGAAGCCCCCCAAGGACACAAAAATTGGGAGAGGGTGGGCGTAGCCAATTCTGTGGCTGCAGAGTCATAGGTTGGCCACACTCACCACCAACTGCTGTGCATTCTCTGAGGTCAAACAGCCACTGGGATGGGGGTTCCTGGCCACCAGTCCCAGCTCTGTGCACGGGGTGGAGGGGACAAACTTGTCCATCTCACCTTCCTCCACGAAACAGGCTCAAATAACCCACTAGGCATCCCCTCAGACTGCAAGAAAATCCCCTTCCACCCATACTGTACCATTAAAGACATTCTAGGGTTTGTACTTTCCCTACTCATCTCCCCAGCCCTGTTCTGCCCCAACCTCTGAGGTGATCCAGCCCCCAGCTGAGTGTGGTACCCATAGAGAGTGGTGGCATGGCAGGTGTGGGGGTGCTTGGGCTGGGGGTGCTCCCACTCCCCTCTCAGCAAAAGGAGGGTCCATGGCCCTCTCTGGCTGTGGCGTGGCCCTTGAAGCCCCACAGGCTCCAGCTGTACCAGGGAGAGCTTGAAAATGAATGTGCCAGCTCCTCTCCAAGCCACGGGGCAGATGGAGCTGTGCAGAGATGCTCCTGAGCTCCTCCCTGCCCCACGTGTGTCTGTGCCAGCACAGAGTGACCCAGGGGGAAGCTGCTGCTGCACCCAGCAGTGGGTGCTGCACAGAAACCCCAAATCCCACGAGCATCCCTCTGCTCCAGTGAGCAAGACAGAAACCCCTCAAGATGCCCTCACTCCCACTCCTAAAGCCACATCAAACCCACCCAGGGAAATAATTCTGCAGGTTAAACCCCATGTGGGATGTGGCATGGCCCATGGGGAGTCTCAGCTCTTGGGATGAGCCTGAGAAGCCAAAAAGCCCCTCAAAGTGCAAACAGCTCTGGTGTGGACATGCACATGGAGACTCTCCTCATGCCACAGAGGTTTTAAGCTGTGATTTAGCTAGGCTGGACAGGCTGAGAATCCAGCCTTGCTTGCCCAGTCCAGGCCATACTAAAAGCTCCATCAGCCAGAGAGGACCCCAATCAATAGGAGCCTTCAAGGCAAGTCATAAAACTTTGAAATTATGCAGGCAGCTCTCAGTGCTCCACAGCAAAGGCAGTCTTTAATTCATGGGGATGCTCCTGGGGAACCAGTGAGAGGGCTCTTAAATAAGGGAACAGAACAAGGGGCTGCACTGCTGCCACCCTCATGGGGTGCACAGGGCTTGGATGGGCTCAGGAGGTGCTGCAGTGACAAACCCACAGCTGAGCCTTCCTCCCTGCCCTGCCCAAGCACCTCACGCACAACCCACTGGAGGTGCTGCAGAAACCCAGAGGTGCCTCCAGACCCCACCTTTGAGCATCTCTGAGTCCCAGGGAGATACTGAGCATGCAGCACCCCTGTCTGCACCTCACAGGGATTGTGGAACTCCATCATCCTGGGGACCCCAAAACCACACAATACCTGTGAGCTGGGAACCAGCAACACCTTCTGCCTTGGAGCTCATGGTGGCTCACAACAGCATGGGCAGGAGCAGGAAAGGATGTCCTCAGACTCCTCTGTTATAGATATAGAGGGAAACTGAGGCACTGCAGAGTTGCAGAAGCAGAAGGGATAAAGGATTGTTGCAGGAGAAACTCAGTAAGGTCCTTGACCCAGAACAGACCAATCACTCAGGGAATAAAAACCCAGGGGAAAAAAAAAGACCATAAAATGTAGGAGTCACATTTGGACCACACAAAGGCACCAACAGGCCACCAAAAGTCACAACACAGCAGCCAAAGCATCCCTGGGAGCCCCTTACCCCACAAGGAGAGGAGAAATCTCACCTCTGCCACCTTCAGCCAAGCTGCTGGGGCCGGTGCTGTGCACAAGGAGCCGGGTCCGGCCCCTGGGTGGCAGGGACCGAAGTGCTCCGGGCTGCTGAGGCAGCACAGGAGGCTCAGCCCTTGTCCCCAGCGTGTGGGGCCAGCTGGGGACAGCCCAAGCTGACATCCCACCCAGCGAGGGGATGGGGACACAGCCCCAGCTCAGGCAGCGCCACAGCAGGAGGAGGAGGGAACGGAGTGGGATCGGGAAGGAGAGAAGGGAGGAGAGGGAAGAAAAGGAGAAAAATGAGTTTTCCTGCTGCCCCAGCGGTGTGGCGATTGATCGGGTGCAGGCTGGTGTGGAGCGGTGCTGAGAGCCTCATTCCCCACCGCCGGCTCACAATTATTGGAAAAAACCCGGCGCTGCTGCTGCAGTGAAATTAGTTATTGATCTCTTGTCTGGGTGACAAGCGCGGGGCCGGGGCT